TAGTTCCTGTACTGTTTTTTCCGGGGTGTTTTGTGATCTGGGTGTGTGTTTAGATTGCCTTCAGCCTGTAGACGAGTAGCGATACAAAGAATAACAAATGGAGGCAATGCAATCCTGATGGGTTGCCGTGCTTCCGGTGTGTGTGTGTGAGTGTGTGTGTGTGTGTGTGTGAGTGTGTGTGTGTGTGTGTGTGAGTGTGAGTGTGTGATTATGCCTGATGCGTTTCTTCAACGTACCTGATTACCTGTCAGCATGTGCTGGAGCCTGACGGAAGCAGCGTCTTTAGGTGTGTGTGTGTGTGTGTGTGTGTGTGTGTGTGTGTGTGTGTTGTCAGCCCCCCACAGGTTGTGCTAGTGTGTAAAAGCAGAGAGACGAGGAGCAGATCCTTTATTGAGGCACTGAATGCTCTGAGGTGTGTGTGTGTGTGTGTGTGTGTTTCAGGTACCCAGCTGTGCAGAGGACAGGAGTGATTGCTGCTAGATAACATGCATTATTCTCACTATGCACACACTGGCCAGCAATTCTGCCTCCTAATGTCCCACAAATATGCCCACAACAAACTTACAGCTTTTTCTAAAAGAGCCAGCAGAATCTTGTTTTCAGCGTCGACCGGCACAAAGATCTGCACACACACACACTTCTCACACACTTCTGTTCGCAAGCACAAACAGAGATGCAGAATTGGATGCATGTCACAAACACGTTTGATTCTCAAGCCTTTTTATTTATTCGTGTACAAAAGCATCATCTCCGACATCAAATACGCTGCATGAGAACGTGATTTTCAGTTCGATCTGCATCTGTTTCTCACACAGATCTGTTATATATGACTTGTAATGTGGAGCACAAGTTATTTACACCATATTTTGGGATGTTTTTGTCCTTTGTTTTGTGTTACTGCTTAATGAAAGGGTTTATTGTGGGTGTCAGGATGGCCACACTTTTTTTTGATGGTCTGTTTGTTGATCGTAATGCCTCGTTTCCACTGACTGGTACAGTACGGTACGGTTCGGGTTGGTACGGGTCACCTTTGTCAGGCTTGCGTTTCCACCATAAAGGGTACCCTTTTGGTGGGCGTGCTGTACGACAAAGTTTAAGTCGACGTCATGCTCGCCTAAATAAATGTCTACAGTAAAGCAGCACGGGTCGCTCACATATCATAATGAGCAGCACTTCTCACAAAACAGACGCTTTACACACATAAATACTTGTTTATAAATGTTCATTACTAACTTTTCTACGAACATGAGTTGATTATAACTGCAGATCAATGACAGTGCGAAATAGCCTACTGTAACGTCTGTAATTATATAAAATAAATACATAAATGCAACATATATGAACACATACAGACCCTTACAGTCTCCGATATATTATTAATTACAGAAACACTACACACAGCAGACATTTAGTACTTATCTGAGTTCAAAAACACACGCAATATCGCCCACAGTCAGCGCAAACCTCTCATCTGTGTGTAATCTTCAGCAGCACATGTCAGCTCTGTTAGACAGTCATTCTGTCATTCCCAGTTCATAATAATCCAAAAGACGAAGATAAACACGGCAGTGTGTTCATGATTCAGGTTGCTAAAACACTTTTGCTCCTGTGTTTTGAAGGCTTCTCTAGTTTTTTCAAAAAAGTGGTACGGTACGGTTTGGTTGGGTACGCTTTTGACAGTGGAAACGGCCATAAAAGCGTACCAAACCGAACCGTACCGTACCACACAGTGGAAACGGGTCATTAGTTGACTAAATTCTCATTAGATTATCAGTAGACTGTTTGTCACGCCTGGGTTCTCGCAGGAAGGGAAAGGGTCGCAGAATTTATCAAACATGTAGATTTCGAACACTCACTTGGAAGACATAGGAAACACAGGAGACTCAGGAACAACATGGGGTGTGGACAACCCAAGCTCATTCTGAAAACAAAGCACCCCGGACGTTTCTGGAGACCGCGATTTACATGGCCGGATGTAGGTATGGCTGCATTTAATTTTTTAAGCAAACTTTACAGAGCGGTGTTATGCCATTCCTCTTCATGCTCGCTGGCTGACTGCTCACCTCCGTGTGGAGGACTTTCCCGCCACAACCAGTTTGTCTGGTCAGCTCGTCGTATACGTCGGTGCGGTGGAGACTCAGAGGGGACCATGAAGACGGCGACGACAGTGTTTGAGTCCGGGGAAAAGTGGTTTCAGAAATCAGATAAGACAAAAACATAATCCAAAAAATAAAGTGATCGACATTCGGACAGACGGTCGCTCGACAGCGGCCTCCGGTGGCTTTACGGGAGAACAGTGCGGGAGCAAACGGCAATCGCGAAAGGCGTTCGAGATGCGAAAAAGCGCGCTCAGTGGGCTCTCATGGATTCGCGAAAACAAAAACTGCACAAATACGTACCTCCCAGGACATATTTCGTGGTCTACAGAAACATCTGCTGGACTATGTTGTGACGCCTGCTGCGCTGTCATTTGTCTGCCGTGTCTGTCTGTGTGTCTGTTTTGCTCCCTCTACAGATGCGCTGTAACATTGCGGGGCATAATCAGGTGGATGGGGAACACCTGAGTCTAAGTGAGCGCTCTTTTATCAGCGTCCTGCCACTGTTTGAGAGAGAGAGATTCTTCCGGCTAAGGGTTGGGACGGAGACCAGCGGCGTGCGAGTTGGCGGGGCGTTCTTGCCTAATGTTTGATCACAGTGGGCTTAAATAAAACTTTTGTAACGTGATTTTTGGCTTCCCCCTCTTATTTTTTACTTGTTTCGCCCCGAGGGCGTAACAATGTTTTCAGAATAAGCCTAGGTTGGGTGTGGATGATGCGTAACCAAGAATGTTGGACAACGACTAAAAATCACACAGCACTGTAAATACACAGGATGTAATGACACACAGGAGAGGAACACGAGTGAAACTGATCAACATGATGAAATGGCGGGAAACAGAACAAAGGAGCACATGGGTAAAGTAACCTGACGAAAACACAGGGGCCTGACATCACCCCCATCTTTGAGGACACTTCCTCGCGCCTTAACAAAAGGAGGGACAAGGGAGCTTGGTGGCACTGGTGGGCTGACGGGGTATGAGTTAGGAAAGAGCCAATGTGGAGCTAAAGGGTCGGAGGGCGGAGGAGATGACGCCGGGCGACAACCTCTGGTAGGCGAAACAGGTAGGCAGGCTCAGGAACAACATGGGGTGTGGATGACGCATAACCAAGAATATTGGACAACGACTAAACAACACACTGGACTATAAATACTTAGGACATGATGACTGTGATTACACACATGAGAGGAACACAGGTGATACTGATGAACAAAAGGAAATGGCGGGAAACAGAACAAGGGAGCACATGGGGAAGGTCACATGATGAAAACACAGGGGCCTGACACTGTTAGGGTTAGTGTAAGTTGACATGTACTTGCAAAGGTTATGAAAGCAGTGAAATGTCTGTTGAAGGAGCAGAATCAGCAGATATTAAGCAGACAGTCTCCTAATACTCTACAGGACCATCAATCTAAAGTGTTACCCTGAGGACTAATCAAATGTGTGAGATTATTAATCATTTGGTAACACTTTAGTCACAATTAATGTTATTATCTACCACCGTATTACCTGCCTGTTAATAAGATATGAATTGTTTATTAGCAATTATGATCTTATTCTGCATCTCTAATCCTGCACAACACCTACTGATTATTGCTGAACCGCTCATGAGTAGTTTATTGAGCTAGCAGTAATAGTTAATGGTCTGTTAATACTGTGATTTGTGACCTAAATTAAAGTGTTGCCAATCATTATAATAGTTTTATCCTCTCATCATCAGCTCATTGATTAATGTAAATATGAAAATGATAACTTCAGTTGTAATCTTCAACGCTTTGTTGCACAGATTTAGGCTTGGGGTCATTTTAAAGAAGATCCTTGTCGGATGATTGGAGTTATTCATTTTTTCTTCAGCTTAGTCCCTTTATTCATCGGGGGTCACCACAGCGGAATGAACCACCAACTTATTTTATGTGTCTTTGAGTTTTTAATATACAGGCTAAAATGCAATTTTTACAAAAGCTGAACATTTTAATTGAGTGTGTGCGTGCATGTGTGTGAGTGTCTTTCTGTGTGTGTGTGTGTGTGTGTGTGTGTGTGTGTGTGTGTGTGTGTGTGTGTGTGTGTGTGTGTCTTTCTATTTGTGTGCACGCATGTGTGTGTGTGTGTGTGCGTGCGTGCGTGCATGTGTGTGTGTGTGTATCTTTCTGTATGTGTGCACGCGTGTGTGTGTGTGTGTGTGTGTGTGTGTGTGTGTGTGTGTGTGTGTGTGTATGTATGTATGTGTGTTTATGTGTTTCTCTGTATATGTGTGTGTGTGTGTATGCATGTGTGTGTGCGCGAAAGTGTCTCTGTGTGTGCAAGTGTGTTTGTATCTGTATGTGTGTGTGTGTGTGTGTGTGTGTGTGTTTCTCTCTCTGTATCTATCTATGCGCATGTATGTGTCTCAATGTGTGTGTGCGGTGCCTGTGTTTGCAAGTGCATGCATACATGCATGTTGTGTGGGTGTGCGTGTATGCATGTGTGTGTGTGAATGTGTCTGTGTGTGTGTGTGTGTGTGAATGTGTCTGTTTATGTGTCTCAATATGTGTGTGTGCGTGCCTGTGTTTGCAAGTGCATGCATGTTGTGTGGGTGTGCGTGTATGCATGTGTGTGAATGTGTGTGTGTGTATGCATGTTTATGTGTCTTCCTGTTTGTGCGAGTGTTTGTTTTGTGTCTCTGTATGTTTGTGCACGTGTGTGTCCCTGTGCATGTGTTTGTGTACATGTTTGTGTATATGCGTGTGTCTCTTTGTGTGTGTGTGTGTGTGTGTGTGTGTGTGTGCGTGCGTGCGTGCGTGCGTGCGAGCGTGCGTGCGTGCG